GGACAGGGGCCTCAGCCAGCCTCAGGGGCCCGGGACAGGGGCCTCAGCCAGCCTCAGGGGCCCGGGACAGGGGCCTCAGCCAGCCTCAGGGGCCCAGGACACTAGGACTGGGATCCTTCTTTTGAGGCTTGGCCATGGGAGCACAGCCCCCTAGTTCCCAGGGTGCATCTGTGTTTCCCAGGGGCGGGGGAGCCTCACCCTCAGGGCAAAAGCAGCCGGCCACACAGTGGTCCTCGCAGGCCCGGGAGTGCTCCTGGTTGGAGCAGGTGTCTGTGCAGGGGGAGCGGCACTCGTGGTACTGCATGTTGCTGGGGCACGTCTGGGCTGCGGGAGGCAGAGACACGGCTCATGTCCGCCCGCCCCGGCCCTCCCTGCCAGAGGGTTTGGGGGACAGGGCGCCGGGACACTCACGGCAGAGGTCAGGGCCCCGCCAGTCCTGGGGCAGCCCCCCGGCGTGGGCGCACTGCCGGGAGTACTCCGCGAGGGTGTGGCAGACGCAGCTGAGCAGGTCGGTGCCTCCGCAGAAGCAGAGGTCTTGCCTGCAGGCCTCCAGGTAGCTGCCGACGTCCACCAGGGCCACACAGCTGGAGAACAGCTGACCATTCAGGAGCTCCTCGCAGATGCCCTAGAACAAAGGCCACAGCCCGACTGAGTCCTCAGTGGGGAATCTGGACCGGTTCCAGGCTCACAACCCCTCCTCCTCACCCTGCCGGGCCCCTGTTCCCTCCAGGGCTTACAGAGCCAGTGGAGCAGTTCCTCGGGGGTTCAGGGACAGGGTCCTCACACTGCTCCGTGGGGTCGTCCATCTTCTGCAGGTTCCCAAACTCCATGGGAGTCAGCTTGATGTCTGCGGGAAGCACGGAGGTGGGCTCTGCCTGCAGGTCCCGGTACCCCTCAGCCCAGCACCCGAGCAGCAGAGCCCCCACGGCCGGGTCCCTGGGGTGGGGTTAGAAGGGCCATAGGTGGCTCCTGTTCCCTCTGGATGCCTGAGTTGTCCTGGCTGCACCTGCTTGGCCACCCCATGCATGCTGCAGGACCCTCAGGGGGTCTGGAATGATGGAGAGAAAGCCCAGGAGGTTGGTGTCCAAGTCACAGGGGACTGCCGGCTGAGTCCTCAACTGACCCAGGACCCTGGTCTCCTCCTGCCAGGCTGGCGGGAACCCGAGCACCTCCCAGTCCACAGAACCCAGCCAACCCAGCGCTAGGCCTGCCTTGCCAAGGGCTGCTGGACACCCAGGCAGACTCAGTTCCCCACAGAGGGACACCCTGTACTCGGGGCTTGTATGGGGCTTCACAGGCCTGGCAGGGGGAGGTGGGGAGTGGGGCCTTGGCTGGTGCAGGTCACATTTGCAAGGCCACAGCCTGGCGGCAAAGACTCAAAGACCAAGAAGGAGGCAGGTCTGTCATTTCAGGAGAGGGCGTGCGGTCAGGGGTCGCCACCCAGAGCAGCCACACAGAGCAAGGGGCCCAACGGGCGATTTGCTCCCAGCCTGCACCCCTGAGACAGGCCGGCATTTGGGGATCGCGTGTGTACAGGTGTGTGCTGTGCTGGGAGGGAGGGCAGCTGCCTCCATGCATCTGTGCATGTGTGTGCCGGAGCGTCGGAGGGTGTGTGTGCACACAACACTGAGCCCCCAGGGGACGCTGAGGAAGGGGCTGATGGCGCCATGTGGGGGCCTTACTGTGGGAGAGGAGCTCGCTGACCACGGGCATCCCGTTGAAGTCTCCACAGAGCCCACAGGTCTTGTTGGCATATTTGGCGTCCAACTCCAGCTGCAACGGAGGAGACATCAGACACCCGTCCCCACCAAGGACGGATGGACAGATGAGGCTCAAGCCTGAGATTTCCGAGGAGGGGCTGAGGCCCACGGAGGAGACACCCCCAAAAGCAGTCTCCATCCTGAGGGCACAGACCCCGGGACAGCATTGGTGTCTGGGCACCTGTTCTTGCCTGCTGTGTGGGGTGGGGTCTGACCCTGACGGGGCCCAGGGCGCCTTTTACCCTCTCTGGAAAGGCTGTGGGATCGGGCCAGCCCTCGAGGGCTGGAGGTGCACACCGGGACACCCCCACCCCCCAGCGTCTCTTATACACATCTAGGCTGTGGGATCGGGCCAGCCCTCGAGGGCTGGAGGTGCACACCGGGACACCCCCACCCCCCAGCCTCACCAGCAGACTGTCATCGTGGTTCCACATGAGGACAAGGCCCAGTCTGGCCTCCACCTTGGTGTAGCTGCTGCTCTGCTGAATGAAGACCCCAGACTGGCTGAAGGGCAGCAGGACCCTGCGGAGGGAGGCAGGGCTGAGGGGCTGGGAGCACGGTGAGGAGAGATCCCAGGCAGGGCAGATGCCTGTGGTCGCAAATGGGACACGGTCATGGTGACCATGAAGTCACGTCTGGGATGGGGACAGTGACTTCTGGAGCTCTGGGGTCACAAGAAGCTAGGAAGGGGCAGAATAAGAACCTGGGGATCCCAGGAGGGGATCCAGCTCGGTGGACCAGCTCGGGGGACCAGGGAGGACCCATGTCCAGCTCTACTCTCAGGGGCTTGCCAAGAAGTACACATCCTCCCCAGGACTGCCATGCCCCCGTGACCCCCCAGGAATGCCGTCCCCACACACCGCGTGGCCCACCCTCCGAGAGCCCAGACTCACGGGCGGCCGTTGACCAGGACAGAGCCGTTGGTCAGCTGGATGACCACGCCATCCACCTTCATGAGGACCCTGCTCAGCGTGGGGGCTGCTGACTCCTGGCTGCGGCGCAGCTGGACGTTGAAGTCCTCGTAGGCGGCGCCGCAGTGCTCGGAGAACACGTAGTTGCAGAGGCCGGGGAAGCGGAAGACGTCGCCGTCGAAGGTCTTGTAGTGGAAGTCGCCCCAGGTGCTGCACACCCGCCCGTTGTGTGCCGGGTTGGAGGCTACGGTGGAAGCAGCATGGCGTTTGGGAGCGTCACCCTCACCCTCGTCCTGTACCCCTGCCCCTGCCCTGCACTTTCTGCCCCACCCCAGCGTCCTGCAGGAGGTGCTGCTGCCCTGGACGGGGCACCCAGGGGTCCTTCCTGTGTCTGAGAAGTCCCAGAAACGTGTGCAGGGAAGTGCTAGGCCCTCTGGTTCCAATACCTACCCAGTGGCTCCAATACCTACCCAGTGGCCACCTGGAAAGCTGGGGCCCCTCTCCACCAGGCACCTCCAGGCCTGAGCGGGGAGCTCAGCAAAGCTAGGCCCCTTCCCCACCCAGGCCTCGGGGCTCCACTCACCTCGTACCACGGGGATGGTCCTCAGAGGCGGGAAGAGAGTCACCCCACGGGGCGGGACCCCTGCGGAGACAGGGACTGGTAGGATGCACACACGGCCCCCAGGTGGGGCGGGGCTTCTGCAGTCAGAGATGTTCCAGCGTCCGTGGGTCCCGGCTCCTGGCTCTGAAACCAACTCTGGATTCTGCCGCGTGTTGCCCTCCCGCCCCACCACCACCTGCTCCTTGTGTGTTTGCAGCTGCACACCCTGAGTTCCATCTGCACCTTGTGTGTTTGCGGCCACGAACCCTGAGCCGCACACCCTGAGTTCAGTGTGACTTTCTGCTTCCTCCCGGCTGTCACCAGGAAGAAGCTCTCAGGGGCTGCCAGCTCTCTCACACCCATGGGCCTCAGAACCTGAGTCTGCATCAGCGGCTCAAGTCAGTCTCTTGGGTGCTGAGATTAGGCACATCTGGCCCGATTTGGAGAAATGCAATCTGAGAGTTTGCCAGAAGCCCCCGACTCTGGCTGCCCTCGCCTGCCCCGCCTCTGCCAGGGCTGCTGGGCCCCCACGGGCTCCCGCTAGCACAATCCACACCGGGACGGCCGGCGCCAAGGGAGATACCTGTGTTGCTGAAGTGCCAGGAGGTGAACGGGGGGACACTGAGGCAGGACCCAGCTCCAGATCCCTGGAGGGTGGCCGGCACCCACAGGACATGGGCACAGCCAGCCTGCCCCACCCTGCAACTCCTTCAGAGCCTGAGCGCTGCAGGGGGCTGGCCCAAGGACAAGCAGGTAGTGTGACCGACCAGGGTCATGGATGTGGGGTGTCCTCCTGTCCTCCCAGGTTTGGTCCTCAGCGGTGGCCAACTGGGGAGCCTCCCTAAAACCAGTGCCCCTGGGAGCCGTGCCACTCAGTGGAGGGTGGAATCTGACAGGCTTAGGGTGGGGGCCGGACGCTCAGACTCACCACCAGGTCCCTGGGCGATGGGAGAGAGGGCAGGGTGGTGCTCGTAGCTGGATTCGGAGGAGCCGTCCTGGGCATGGCCTGCAGAAAGAGGAGGGGGGCTGAGCCCAGATGCAGGGTGGCTGAGGGGGCTCAGGCTGCGACCACAGATGCAGCGCGGACACCAGAGGATCGGGAGGCCATGGTGTGTGCAGGTGGCCTGTGGCGAGGGCTCTCTGTGTGCTGGGTTGGAGGTCCTAGGGGGCCTCTGTCCATGTGAGTCGGAAGTCTGAGCCCAGACCCTCCAGGAGCATCCCCTCAACCTGGCCCCATGGAGCAGGTGGTGTCGGGACCCTTTGCCCCAATCTGGCATCCCCATCTATTCATTCGCACTCACTGCAGAGCATCCCAGGCCCTGGCCTCCACACTCAGGACCCCCGCCCACTACAGTGATCCCACTGAGGGGCTGGAGCAGTCAAACGCATGGGAGGGGTCGGCCCCAAGACCGCCTGGAGGAGCTTGCCTCCCTACAAGCAGCAGATCTTGCAGGAGGTTGATCTCCAGGGTCCATGGAGACTGTGCAGAATGTCACCAGATCCCAGCCCAGCCCCGCACAGCCCCACACATCCCTGCACAGAACCAGCATGGTGGGACCAGCCCCCAGCCACAGCCCCGCACAGTCCTGCACAGAACCAGCATGGTGACCAGACCCCAGCCCTTCACAGCCCTGCACAGCCCTGCACAGAGCCAGCATGGTGGGACCAGCCCCCAGCCCTTCACAGCCCTGCACAGTCCTGCACAGAACCAGCATGGTGACCAGACCCCAGCCCTTCACAGCCTCGCACAGCCCCACACAGTGCCAGCATGGTGGGAGGGGCGCCCGGCCCAGCCCAGGACCCTGCAGAGAGGGGGTCTTGGGGAAAGCTGTGATTCATCTGCATCCCAGCCCCAGCTTCCCAGTTCCCGCGCCTGACATAGGGGTCCTCAGGCCAGGCTGGGAGACCCCCCTCACCCCCATACCCTCTGCCCCCAGTGGGGCCCAGTGCGTCAAATGTCAGTGGGCAGAGGGGCCCTTAGCATCTGCAAGCCCCATTGGACAGACAGAGACAGTGGCCTGAGCCTCACTTACCCCGTCCTGGCCCAGGCCTGCCCCCATCTTCTGAGCCCCGCAGACCCAGCCCCAGCCCTGCCCTCTCCTGGGAGCAGCCTGGGAGAGAATTCCTGCTTCTGAGATGAGAGTGGTACAGACGAGGGATGGGGGGAGCAGAGTCTGGCTGGGCCACAGCTGAGGGCAGCATGGAGACACCGGGAGATAGTTCTTGCTCTGGGACTGCCTGGCAGAGGGCCAGAGGCTGGGGACAGGGCTGGGCGAGGGACCTGGGTGGGCCATGTGGCCGTCTCAGCAGTGCTGAGGTCCCTGCCCTGCTGTTCCAGGAGCCCAGGAGCACCCACTCCCCCAACCCAACCCCAGGCATTCCCCTGACAGGGGCACATGGTCAACAGCAGACCCAGGCCCAGGTGTCCCCTAGAAGCAGAGGCAGGGACTTACTGGCCCAGCGAGGGGCCGTTCAGATCACAGGGCCTGGAGCCTCCCGCATCACCCTCTTAGCCCCCATCACCCTCTTAGCCCCCATCACCCTCTTAGCCCCCATCACCCTCTTAGCCCCCATCACCCTCTTAGCCTTAGGCCGGGGGTGAAACAGTTCCCCTGTGGACCTCACCATTACATCCTCGCTCAGAGGCTGAGACCCCCCCAGGAGACCCCCATCGAGGCCCAGACAGGGAACATGAGCTGGTAAACTGGGCACGTGTGGGGTGTGCAAGGGCAGGTGCCTGGGGCTGATGCCCTGACCAGGCCCAGCGGGGGCCGTGAGCCACTGGAGATACTGTGGGCCAGGCACTGTCGGCCGCCGGGGATAAGTTCAGGGATCCAGGCGGGGAGGGGAAGCCGGAGACCTGAGCTCCTGCTTCCCTGCCTCAGGGAATGGCCCAGCCTCAGAGGTCCCTGAAGCCTGGAGATCCCTTAGCAACCCCACGAGGTGGAAACTGCTCGTTGGTGGCCAGGGCCACAGGCAGGGGCTCTGCTGCTGGGCGCCGTTCATGGCACATGCCCGGAACCCAGGGCAAAGACTGAGCTGCCTGAGGCCCACTCAGTACCGCGCCACCTAGGACTAGTAGAGCGGCCAGGGACCGAGCCGTACCTGTGTGCCGGGTGCAGGCCAGAGCAAGAGCCAGGGTCCAGAGTGGGGCCAGCTTCCTCTGGCCGACACCCATCGTGTGGACGGCGGGGAAGAGTGCCCTGTCCCTCGGCAGCCTCTGAGGAGGGACCCAAGGTTGCAGGAGCCTTTTGTAGCCCCAGAGCTGGCTCCGGCCCCGAGCTTCACATGGGTGGGCGGGGCAGGGCCTGTGGTTCCCCCTCACCCGAGTAAACAGTGGGTGCTCACTGCGGGCTGGCCCGCGGCCGGTGGCAGGCAGAGATGGGTGTGTCTGCCAGTTTCCGAGGGCTCCCCCAAGCCCTGGCCTGCAGGGGTTCTCCCCACATACCCCACCCTAGACTCTTCCTGGGCACCGTGCCATGCCCAGCAACCTGTGAGTTCCCGGTGCCCAGAAGTGAGTGCTCAGAACAGCCTGGAGGCACCTCTTTGACACTAAACTCTCTGCAGCAGGACGGGGGGCCCAGCCCAGCCTCTCCCTTTCCTGCCATTCCTCCCGTGGCAGACCTCCTGGTTGGACCCTCCATGTGGGCAGTGGAGCTGCCGACCTTGGCTGGGGAATGTGTGGCTGCCTGGGAGGGAGAAGCCAGCCCCAGCCCAGTCCCAAGCTCCTTATGGTCACCTATGTCTCCCTTTCTGTGCCTTTTCCTCCCCATGTCTGTCTTAGCCCAGGTGCCTGGAGAGAGAGCACTTCATATGTGACAGGAGTGTGGGGAAAGGGAAAATGATTGAGTGAGTGAATGAATGAGTGAATGAGTGAGTGAGTGAGCCAAGGCGTCCCTCAAGCCAGCCACATGCTGCCACTGAAGTGGTGCCAGCCAGCCTCACCCTCCCTAGAGAGAGGCTCCTGGCAGCAGCCTCCAGGCAAGTGACAGAACCCCTCCCTCACCATGCAGCCCCTCCCAGCATTGCCCAGGAGTCCACCTGTGCTTCAGTCTCCTGGTGCCAGGCGGGCAGGGCCAGTTCCATTCACATGATGGTCTCGGGCCACCCAGATCCAGAAATGCTCAGTACCCTCTGGACAGGAAGCTGTTGACTGGTCCCAGCAGTCCCAGTACAGAAAGGTCCCAGTGAGTCTTTGGCCTGAAGGGCTCTGGCTGAAAAGGTGCTGTTGTGTGATGAACACTTGCCCAGATCACGGGTGTGTGGTAGGACACTGGGGTTGGACTCTCCCTCGCAGGCAGCCACATACTCCCCAGCCAAGGTCAGCAGCTCCACTGCCCACATGGAGGGTCCAACCAGGAAGTCTTCCATGGGAGGAATGGCAGGAAAGGGAGAGGCTGGGCTGGGCGATCTGCCCTGCTGCAGAGGGATTAGGATCAAAGAGGTGCCTCCAGGCTGTTCTGAGCACTTGCTTCCAGCTCTCCAAGGACCCATCCCAAGCTCCTTATGATCACCTACGTCTCCATTTCTGTGCCTTTCCTTCCCCAGGTCCTGTCTTAGCCCAGGTTCCTGGAAAAAGAGCACTTCATATGTGGCAGGAGTGTGGGGAAAGGGAAAATGATTGAGTGAGTGAATGAATGAGTTAGTGAGTGAGTGAATGAATGAGTGAATGAGTGATTGAGTGAATGGGTGAATGAATGAGTAAATGACTGAGTAAGTGAACGAGGGAATGAGTGAGTGAATGAGTCAATGAGTCAGTGAGTGAATGAATGGGTGAATGAATGAGTAAATGAGTGAGTGAGTGAATGAGTGAGTAAGTGAATGGATGAATGAGTGAGTGAAGGAGTCAATGAGTCAGTGAGTGAGTGAGTGAATGAGTGAGTGAATGGGTGAATGAATGAGTAAATGAGTGAGTAAGTGAATGAGGGAATGAGTGAGTGAATGAGTGAATGAGTGGATGCGTGAGTGAATGAGTGAGTGAGTCAATGAGTGAGTATATGGGTGAGTGAATGTGTGAATGAGTGAGTGATTGAGTCAATGAGTGAGTGAGCAAATGAGTGTATGAGTCTATGAGTAAGTGAGTGAGTGAATGGGTGAATGAATGAGCGAGTGAGTGAGTAAATGAGTGAATGAGTGAGTGAGTGAATAAGTGAGTAAATGGGTGAATGAGTGAATGAATGAATGAATGAGTGAATGAGTATATGAGTGAATAAGTGAGTGAGTGAATGACTGCGTGAATGGGTGAATTAATGAATGAGTGAGTGAATGAGTGAATAAGTGAGTGAATGAATGGGTGAATAAGTGAGTAAGTAAGTGAGTGGGTGAGTGAGTGAGTGAATGGGTGAGTGAGTGAATGAGTGAGTGAATGGGTGAATAAGTGAGTGGATGAGTGAGTGAATGAGTGAGTGAGTGGTTGAGTGAATAAGTGAGTGAGTGAATGGGTGAATGAATGAGTGAATAAGTGAGTGAATGGGTGAATGAGTGAATGAGTGAGTGAATAAGTGAGTGAGTGGGTGAGTGAGTAAGTGAATGGGTGAATGAATGAATGAGTGAGTGAATAAGTGAGTGAGTGAATACGTGAGTAAGTGAATGGGTGAATGAATGAATGAATGAGTGAGTGAATAGGTGAGTGAGTGAATATGTGAGTAAGTGAATGGGTGAGTGAGTGAGTGAGTGGGTAAGTGAGTGGGTGAGTGAGGGAGTGGGTGAGTGTGAGTGAGTGGGTGAGTGAGTGAATGAGTGGGTGAGTGGGTGAGTGAGTGAGTGGGTGAGTAAGTCAGTGGGTGAGTAAGTGAGTGGGTGAGTGAGCGGGTGAGTGAGTGAGTGGATGAGTGAGTGGGTGAGTGAGTGAATGGGTGAATAAGTGAGTGAATGAGTGAGTGAGTGGGTGGGTGGGTGAGTGAGTGAGTGGGTGAGTGAGTGAGTGGGTAGGTGAGTGAGCGAGTGGGTGAGTGAGTAAGTGAGTGCGTGAGTGGGTGAGTGAATGGGTGAAAAATTGAGTGAATGAGTGAGTGAGTGAATGAGTGGGTGGGTGAGTGAGTGAGTGAATGGGTGAGTGAGTGGGTGAGTGAGTGGATGAGTGAGTGAGTGGGTGAGTGAGTGGGTGAGTGAGTGAGTGAATGACTGACTGAGCGAGTGATCACACTGGAAGCTGAGTGGCTGACAGGGTTAGGTGGACCACCCCAGCCACTGGTGCTTCAGGAGGTCTGACCTGACCAGGTATAGCCAGGGTTCCCCTGAGTCACTGGCCCAGTTCATACCATGACCTCTGAACAGTCTGAGTCACCAGCCTGGCCCTCAGAGGGGAGTGCCCCCTGCGTGTCTAAGGCTGGGCCAAGCCCCAGGGCACCTGGCCAACTGGCCACCCAGGCCTTGCAGCCCCAGCCACAGCTTTCTCCTCCCTCAACCAGATGTCACCCAGGGCCGCTACTGTGGTCCAGGCTGGGGGTGACTTCCCCCCGCCAGTGTTGGTGACCCCTGGCTGTGCTGGGCTTCCTCCTGGGACCTTGGTTCAGGCACCCAAACCTCTGGGCATGGGCCACGGGCTGACCGCCTGGTCCCATGCAAACCCCACCAGGCCAAGGCCTCAGGAGGCCTTAAGCCAGTGCCTACAGTTCCAGAGCCTACAGCCCCAAGCTCCACACACCCAGAACTTTCCAGAAAACTCACTGGGCCTTGTTTCCGAGCCCTGTAGGGGCTTCCTGTCTGTCCCCAGGGGCAGTGAGGTCTCGGCCACGCCACCAGCCTCAGAGGGGAATCTAAGGGTCACTGCAGGCTTCCTGGGACCTCTCAGAAGGTGCAGGCAGGGTCGGGCGAGCCCCAGCGCAGCTGCCTGGCTCCTGAGAACCCTCCCTGAGGCCTAAAGCTCTCAGCATATGCCCAGGAGTCCCACGCACCGGAGGGCTCCACGCCACCTCAGCTCCCAGCCCCCCAGCCTGCACAGTAACTCCTGCTGCCTCCCAGCAGGGGCCCTGGCCAGGCCGGCTGGATACCTTCCCCCAGTCTGGGGCCAGTGTCAGCTCTGAGACCAGCAGCCAGCACAGGTGTAAGGCCAGTGACTTGGTCTCAAAATCAGGATCACTCTTCCCCCATGAGTTCCCAACCTCCCGAGGTAGCCGAGCATGGCACTTGCATCTCGGAACCCTGATGCCCCGGGCACCCTGCCCGCAGCACCGACCACTTAGCAGGCATGACTGCATGTGCGGTCCGGGTGGGGCTGCAGCAGGGGCCTGGGGGCCGGTGATCTGAAAAGCAGGTGCATCCCTTAAAGCAGACCCTGCCTCAGCCCCTGAGAACGGTGATGACCCCACGGGGCAGGAGTCCACCCTCCTGACTTGAGCCTGCATGCTCAGGTGAGAGGCACCTTCAGGGAAGGTGTGTGCCTGGGACCAGCAGCTGCCTGTCATCTGGAAAGTGCTTGCAGGAGGAGGGTCACCAGAGCGGGGACAGTGCCGGGCGGTGGGAGCTTGCTTCTGTGGGATGTGCAGGAGGAAGTCTGTGCATGGTGGCGGCACGTGGGCTCCGCTGGGACTGCAGCCCACAAACCCTCCCTCTGCACTCTGGTGCCAGAGGCCCCACAGCTCTGGTCCTCGGTGGCCGCCAGTGCCCTCTCTCCCCGGGATCTGACAGGTGAATGCAGACAAGAGGGCACTGGAGAAAGGGCGGGGGTCACGGCCCCGATAGGAGCTCCCAGCCAGGTGTTGCCACAGAGACAACAGGATAAGGAGCGGAGGGAGGCCCGGCCACATCCCAGGACCGCGCTGTCTCCTGCCACCAGGTGCTGACCCCACCTCCAGCCCCCCGGACTTGGGAGGAATTGCGTCAGACAGTTTGCCCTGGGTGACTAACTCATGTGAGATTAACCCCGGCCCGCACCACATCCGCACCACATCCAGTGGGGAAAGCCCCCTGGGGATGGCTTCGATCCCACAGAGCTGGGGAAACAGCCTGGGGTGGCCCGGGGCCACCTCCCCTGGAGGAGGGAGTGAAGAGGGTCCTGCTCCCAAGGACTCCCCAGGAACCCCAGAATTCCCTGGGAGCCTCTCAAAGACTCCTACAGGTGTGTATGTTCCAGGTTCCTCAGCCCCACCAGGCCCAGCGCACACTGTTAGGGGCACCTGGCCCAGTCTGCCTTCCAGCAGCATCAGGAGAGGCCCCCAGCCCAGCCTGAGCCCAGCC